TCCCCCCCCCCCCCCCGCTTCCCTCCGTCCTTCCCTTCTACCACAACAGACCAGCTGGAGGTAGCTCTTCAAGCTGCAGGGCTGTGTATCGGAAATCGGATCGGTATCAGCCCCTAAAATCTCACCCCTATCATTTTCCGAAAGTGGTGACTTAGCACATACATGTTTCATGCCCTTCCGGTGATTCAGTAAGTCACTGTCAATAGCTTATTTTGGCTCAGCATCTAATTCTCTAGGTCTTTATACTTTTCCATATTCTGCATTGTATATGAAAGATGGTAATTTTAAATACTTCAGTAGGCCAAACAACTCAACACAGGACTAGGGGTACCAAACACTTCCTATGATGTGGTAAACAGTGCCTGCTAAAAATACTTAATAACATTTCTGTGCTGTTAATCAGTTTTCTGTTTGGTACCTTGTTTTTTTTAAACAATATTGTATGCATCTTGACATCTAGGAATGCAGCGTTCAAGAAAAGATCAACTTTGAAATCGGCATGCGAGAAGGAATCTGTAAACTGCTTACAGTGAGCACTCAAAAAAATCAAATTTGGCAAGCAGTTAAAAACCTGATGGTTTGCAATGCTCGTATACTTGTCTACAGGACAGAGCTCCAGAAACAAAAAGAGCCAATCACATGTGCAACTGAAGGATGGTTAGTAGTTGGGAGTTTTCTATTACAAACTGAGACTCTTGATATTCATCCATTCAAAAAGGTCTGTGGTGGAAATTTTTGCTGCTCAGGAGCATGTATATATTTTTTTATAATATAACTTCTGTATTGGTATCAGCAGAACTAAACCACTGTAATTATAAATCTGTTTTGTTCACATTTAATGTCATTATGGTTCAGTGCTTAACTGTTATAGGATTGGACAAATGTAACAGTAGTCACAAGTAACAACAGAATAACAAAGGATTCTGAGATATAGCTGTGCATACCCTGACAGATTGTATGTTTGTGGTTTTATTGTTGTTTTTTTGTTTTTTTTCAAAAAGGTAAATTGGTACTGTTACATTACAATTTATCCTCAGATAATTAGATCCAAATAAAATCCCCAAACTTTATCACTGCATTAATTCTCCAGTCCAAATCTTCACTTTATAATTTCATTTAAAACTATCTTTTATTCTGTCAGAAATGAAAATTCAGATAATTTGGTTTTCAACTAGATGGTATTATGGATTTATGTATTAGCATTTAGCACATGAGTGTTGGTAGCCCCCATGGGAATGTTGTGTTGATTACAGTGAATATGCCCAGAGTTGTCAGAGTGTATCTGGATGAACAACGCATGGAAAACCTTGTAAGAATACTTCTCACAAGTAAGGATGCCCTTATTTTTTAGTTTTCAGTATTTTCCTCTAAATTTACTTTAATGGTAGAAACACAGTGGTTAATTGGTACCCTCTGCTGGCCACTTTAGTCAACTACATCAAAGTAATCAAAGTATACAACTCCATTAATGTGATGAAAAATCAGCTTTGTTGAAAACATCCCCCAATTTTAACTCCTGAGGGAGCTAAAGCATAAAAAGCTTATTTGCATAATGTTTCTCTGCAGAGTGGAATAGAACTTGTATGCAGTATTGAGAAGAGTGGTACAGAGTTACTATTTCTCTCAGATTATTGTTTTAATGAAGTATTCTGTAGCAGCTTGGTGCAGAAACTCTTCAAGTATGTGCTTAGCTCTAATGAATTGTATCTATAGCAACAAACTTCTGTTAACACTCCACATATAGAACTGTTGTTGTTTTTTACTGGGGGGGTGTGGCGGCGAGACGCCCCCACAGGCTCGTGAAAGGGAGAAGGTAGTCCCTGTGGGACCCAAACCCCACGAACAGCCCCCCGCCACAGGGCAAACTTACCTCCCCCGGGCAGCTGGAGCTGCAGCAGGAACTGCGGCCGTGGCTGCACGAGCCGGCATTACGCCAGCTGTTTAATCAGCTGTTTCCCAGGTGAGGAACAACTAAGCCAATCGCAATGACCGTTCCGGCCACCGCCAGAAGATTTAAAAGCCCCACCGGCACCCGGGGGGCGAAGCAGGTGGAGAGAGAGCAGGTGGAGAGGGAGCACGCTGGCGGAGAACACGCCACACATGCTGAGACTCCCGCTACAGAGAGCAGCAGTGCAGCCAGTGCAATGCCGACAGGTGGAGTGTGGGGGGCGTTGGAGCCCTTTGTAGGAGGTTGGGGGAAAGGAGGCAACTTAACACCCCTCTTCTCCCCAGGGGTTTATTTCTTTTGAGAAAAAAAAAGAAGAGTCATAAGAGCAAAGAGCCCTACTCAGAGGCACTGGAGTAGGCACCAGCTTACGCACATATAGCTGGCCAGTCTCTAGGGAGGGAAGGCTACTTGTCGAGACAGAAGGGGCAGCCGGACAAGTACCAACACAGCCCACCTGGATGTGGGACCCCCCTTGAGGCAAGCTGTGGTCGAACCAGCACGACCTAGGCACCATTGCTGGTCCCCATCCGGTTGGCGAGTGGATGGGGTGTAGGGGAGGCGGAGTCCTGTGGAACATCACACCCGAATCGTGAGTACTGCCGTATCTGGGGATCCCCATGAAGAAGATCTCCACTGAACCCTCTCTTTATATAATAACATCAAGTCGTGGCAGGTGAGTTGAGGGGAGGAGCTCCACACCCGGCGGGTAGTACATCACTCAGGGAACCCCTCTTAAGGCACCTTACATCACCATGGTGCATTGGCCAGGAATTTTTCGGCATTAGCGGGACAGAGATCCCAACCCAGGCATCAGCCGAGATGCAGCCAACAGCGATAGCCCACACGGAGCTACTTACACAGGCTACTCAGGCTATAGGGCAAATGCTGGAGGTGCAACAGTTGCAAGGAGCCCACCAGCAAGAGTGGATGCTCCGTAATGCTGCCCTATTCAAGGTGCCCTGAATGACACAGGAAGATGATCCCGAAGCTTACATAGAAGTATTTGAGAGGGCTGCTATCTAGACGGGACTGGACCGCAGTCAGTGGGGACACCAGCTAGGGACTTTAGTGATAGATCAGGCTCAAGCCACCTGTCGAGGGAGGATGCCTGAGATTATGAGGCTGTCAAGGCAGTGATCCTCTATAGGCTGGAAATTTCCCTGGAAAGTTACAGACAGGCATTTCGAGCACAGAAGGCAAAAGAAGCTAAGCGACCCCGGGGCTTGTTACAGTCTCTTCGGGATTCACTTAACAAATGGTTACCGGCTGGCCAGTTCATCCGGGAGGGGGTGATGAACCAGATCTTATTAAAGCAGTTCCTCTGGGACCTGGAAGAAGACACCCAGAGGTGGGTACGGAGACACCAACCTTGGACCAGCAAGGAGGCCCTCCGCCTAGCTAAGGCCTTCGTAAACTCAGAAAATGAGAGAAGGTACAGGTGAGGCACACGTGCCCCAAAGGAGAGCCCAGTGAGTGAAGGGGAAAGACGGATGGGTCCACAAAGAGGGGCATCGAGAAATGTTGTGTGCTATCAGTGTGGACGAACGGGGTACATCTCCCGGGAATGCGGTCTGGGCCTGAGCGAGCTGGGCCGCAGGCCAGCTGTATATACGCTGCCCCGTGAGAAGGGCAAAGGGACAGAGAGGGGAGAGCCTATGGATTGTAGTTTTGGGCTCATCGCACAGGAAGGAGGATGAAGCCACCCCGTGGTGACTGCTTCGATCAGGGGCGAGGCAGTCAGAGCAGCCCTGGATACGGGGTGTTCCCAGTCCCTGCTCTGCACAGCTCTGGCCCCGCGGACAGGGAGGAAAGAGGCCGGACCCATGACGATGACATGCATACTGGGCTGTGTGGAAGGAATCAAGCTTTGCGTTGTGGTTGAATCAGAACTGACAGAGCCAGCTTTTCTTTATTGAGGGCTATAGTGTGATCACAGGGAGAATTCCACACAGCAAGGGAATCACTCACTTGTCTGTTCAAAGGAATCCACCCCCTCCCTCAGTTTCTAAGCATTTTTTATACTTAAGACAGATAAAGAGAAAAAAATATGACCTTGAAGAAACTAAAACAAACTTACTTAATTGGACATCTGTGCCCAAAGTAATAATGCAGGAATTTTTTTTTTAATCCCAAAACATATAACTGAAATAAGCAGTTTAGCACTTCTGGTCTCTGTCTGTTTTTTTCTAGTCAGAGAGGCCAAAACCTGACTAAATTCACTTTAACATTCCCTAATTTTTTTTTTCAACAAGTTAAATATTTATAGCCATTAGCCTTTCAACTTCTAGTTTTTCTTTTTCTTTGCTTTCTGCTATTTCAACATACAAATTATATACTTCGTTTCTGGTTGATGGGCTATTCCTCATTTGCTTAACAGCACAGTTTAAGCAACATTGAATTATCATAAACACCAGGCATACTCTAATAAAAGCAACAAACAATATCAACAAACTATGAATGACAGTAGAGCCTAAAGAACTGAAAATAGAGTTAAACAAGAACTCAAATTCCAACTGTCTGACTCATGCAATTTAGCTGCTTCTTTTCGAATATGTTTACTTAAATCCTGGATTTCTTCTGAATTATCAGGAATATAAGTACAACATTCTTTACCTATTAAAGCACCGACTCCTCCTTTGCTAGCTAGTATATAATCTAAAGCAAGTAGGTTTTGCAATGCCATTTGCCTTATTTCTTCCATTTCTGTATTTATTTTATCAAAACTATCAGCAGTAGCATTAGCAATTTTTTTCTAGAGATGCTGCAACCTTCTTTATCTTGAACATAGCTAAGCCTGCACCATAGCTGGGGAACATTATACCCCAAAACCCTTGATTTTCTGTATTTTCATGAACATTGTGAATTCTTCCTTTAGGTAGGTGAGATTTAATAGTAAAGGCAGGATACACTGCGGAGACATAGCACATTCC